GATGGGCACATCTGTCGCTGAGTAGCATCTCTCTTCGCTTTATGATGTTGGCGGCTTGTGTGAGTGTAGCGTGGTTGTCAGCGGAGTAATCGTGGAAAGGTGGCTTAGTTAACTCTCTGGGTCCAGTTCTACTAAGCGATCTTAGCTCTCCGATTATTATAAGCCTGTGTTAAAGTATGGGATTGTCTCAGCGCTAAGATCGCTTTGTGGGGTGAGTGAGTGTGTATGGTTTTACGCCGCTTTTAGCAATATTCCAGCAATATCACGGCGGGGGACACTAGAAATGGGCTTCAAACATGGGACATGACGAGCGAACGCTTTAACCACTAGGCTACCCGACCGCCCCTCGCTTTGTGGAACGGGGACTTGGAAGCCGATGTATATTGTTGATGCACGTTTTTGTAAGTTCTGATCATGAGTTAGTGAGTTGGGTTTAACGCCGCTTTTAACAGTATTCCAGTTATATCATGGCGTGTCAGTTTAATGTGGGAGGAAAGCCCGAAGTGATACAGGTTTCCGGCGTTTACCACTTCCATGAAACCCACGACCACGGATGTGGTGCTGGCAAACCTAGAAACATAATGTAAGAGTTAAAGTTGTTATACACTATCAGAGCCTAGAAGTTCAGGCTCAATAGTGCCTTTAACAGGACATCATGAAAGCGAATCAGCATAGCGTGGGGGGAAAGCCCGAAGTAATGTAGCTTGCGATAGTCCTTTTGGTACTTCGAGGCAACCCATAACTGCAGGTCTGGTGCTAACGGACAATGGGTCATAATCGTTTTGTTTTATTTGGTTTGTTGTTTAACGCCGCAATCAGCAATATTCCAGCTATATGACGGCGGTCTGTAAATAATCGAGTCTGGACCAAACAATGCAGTGATTGATATCATGAGCATCGATCCACGCATTTGGGATACAATGACCTGCATCACCACCTGACAAACCGAACCCGTTAGTCGCCTCTTACGACAAACATAGTCGCCTTTTACGGACAGCATTTGTTGCTGAAGACCTTTTCTATCCCGGAGGGCGAGTCTGGGATTCTGGCGGGTCAGCTTGTACAGTGAGTGGGGACGTCATACACCACTGATGGACTATTATCTGGAGACAAATGCAGGATTCTTTGAGCAACAAGTTCTGTCCATGCTTGCATATTATTTTAGGAACTGGAAATAAACACATGTTTGGTATGAGTCTTCTATAAAATATATCAGGTATCGTTGTTTAGTGCACGTATGACTAAACATTTACACAGCTTTTCCACTGGACGAGAGGTCTGTCACGTGGCCGTGAATCTGATGCTCATCAGCGCACGAACGATACAGTTGACGCTCAAACGTTTTCCACGAGACTGAGGGCCAAACTGAATGAACGTCGGAGCTTCATGTGACCCAAAGATCAGAAACAACGCTTCTGTAATTATTCGTGCAAGGGATGCTAGGGAATCCCCAGGGGTTCCCCACAGGGATGTGTAAGGGATTTTTCAAGAATACAATCTCTATAAAACATATGAACGTCAAATGTGTCCTTCATACACTTATGAAATTCAGTTTCGCGGTCGTGTGACCGACCTCTTGTTTGATGGAAAAGTCGTATATCGTCAAGGCTTACTTTAAAAAAGTATATATATTTCAATAAACTCACACAAAGTGAATGTCATTTCCTAAATAGATAAAGTATATTTTAGTTTTAGAAATTTCACTGGCTGACGCGGAAAAAAATCTTTGTGTTTATGACTCTATGAAGCATAAAAAACATTAAGGAACACCCTCCCACACTTAATCGTCAAATAACTTTGCACACGACAAAGCCTAATCCGTTAGTGTAAGTTCTGGATGTGGTGAGAACAGGCCATCAAACCCGACTCCCCAGCCCCACCCATGCTTTTCTGTTCAGACGAATGTGTAACTCCTACCATTACAAGTATATCAATTAACATTATGTTAAATGTTCCCAGACAAAGGTCGGAATAGGTCTGTTCGTTTCACCATGCCAGCATCAATGAAACAAGTTTGCCAGGATGGGACATTTGTCACATACGCGTCACGCTAGGTAACCGAAAACTTCTACATCAGGATTGTTTTATTTGTTTACAGGGGGACACTAATTTCGATGTTTATCTGGCAAGCATATATTGTATTTCCACATTAAGTTTTTCAGATTCTGACTATGCACAGATAAAACGAACTGACGAGTTGTTTGTATTTTCTGTATGTTTCTGTGTATAAATACGGCAAATTCACGTACGAGATTAATATTTTCAACCGGTATGCTGAACTTCAAACAATGTGGATTGACTGCGTGTTTACTGGTTTATCTGGCTGTGTGTAGTGGTATAATGCATATACGTCAATATGATATTGTTTACAGCTGGAAATCTTTACATAAATAAAAATAAGATTTGATATTAAAATGAAATATCTAGACATGAGTTGCATAAAGTTTAAATCAAAACAGTTAAGGACAAGCTACTGGTCTCCGTATCTCGGTAGGGGCGGTCGGGTAGCCTCGTGGTTAAAGCGTTCGCTCGTCACGCCGAAGACCCGGGTTCGATTCCCGATATGGGTACAATGTGTGAAGCCCATTTATGGTGTCCCCCGCCGAGATATTGCTCGAATATTGCTAAAAGCGACGTGAAATCAAAATCACTCACTCACCCCGTATCTTGGTAAGGGAATTTTTGTTATAATGATTACATATTGTTAGAAGATGCAAAAAGAGCTGCTTCGGGACCATAGAATTAACAGGCATGTTTTTAAAAATTTCATAACATTTTTTGCAAAAAAATTATTCACTTATTAAAATTGCACTTTTTCCTATCAGTATCGTTTGTATAAGCAGTATTTTGTTAGTAAATTGAAAAAAGGAAAAATCATCTTTATGATCACTTAAATACATTGTATAAAAATTAGATACTCACAATTCCATTAACGCCAAGAATCCAAGCTCCAAAACAAATGAACGCTGTGCTTGCAGTACTACCCTTGATGGCTGTGCTGCATCAACACAACACCACTATTATATAAAGATCGGGAGCGACGAGATCGACTCTGTCTGCAAGCACCCGGTGACAGCTGGTGAATTGTTTCTTACAAGGAACATGTGGCAGTGTACGTGTGTGTTACGATCTGCCTCGTTGATAACTTACAGACTGTCTATATTATACGTACCTATTACACAGTACAGCATCCAGTTACCGGCCACACGCTGTCCATTCCGTGTATCTGTCCCTGATTCATGACAAGATACAACACGTGTGAGGGTATCCTACTTTCATGAACTGTTGCGATAGTAACCTGTTCCCTGAATACACGCTCAGCTCGTATTGTGATGCCTCGTGCATGTACATCTTTCGTTACATGGGGTGTTGTGTTGATCGTGATTACACTCGGTGGTAGATAACAGGACAAGGACATGAATTGTACACCGCGAACAGCTGCAGAGTTGCTGATTTTGGTGTCGTAATTGGTTGTCTGCAGCTGGAGGGCGGTGATGTGTTTCTGATCGATAAAAGTTTAACACAGGAGGTAAACAAGAATTTTGTCGTGAAAGTAAAAACTTGTTAAAATTATATTTATGGATCGATGAAAATCGGTAATGACACCAGGTGTCCTCGAAAAGGGTAAGCATGTCCTGTTTGACGGGTAGCACCGTCACTCACACCGTTTGTCAAGGTACTTCCATTTCTGCTTATCTGTATTGTCATGCACGAGACCTTTTAGCAAAATTCATGTATATTCATCGCCAAAACCACCCATTGACGCCGAAGGAATGAAGGTGAAGTGGAGATTAATGCAATTACATGGTGACGTGTGTGTCTGTTTGTACTAGACTAATGCCGTTTTTATGCCGCAGTTTAACATGAATACCCCTCTCAGACACAGAATACCGACTCTGAGCCGATCACTCCTTGTTATAGCTCCTTAATGCCGAGCGCCAGGCAGGGTAACAACAAGTACCATTTTTTACGTCTTTTGGTATGACGCGACAGGGGATCAAACCCTGATCTTCCGCTCTCTGGGCGCATGTTCTACCACTAGACCACAGAGGCGGTCGGAAACGAATGAAAAAGAAAACGTGCAGGCTCGCTCGCAGTGTGTATTTCTACCCCTGAAATGTTTTTCAGTCTCGTCATTTTTGTCTGCTTTGTTTTATATAATTGTTTTTGATTAACATATTGTAGATAACACATGTTTAGGTTTTGATTGGGTATTATTTTCGGTTTATTGAGGTAGTGAGTGAGTGAGTGCGGCTTTACGCCGCTTTTTGCAATATTCCAGCAAAATCACAGCGGGCGACACCAGAAATAGGTTTCACACATTCCTTGTCGGGAATCGAACCCGGTTCTTCGGCTTGACGAGCGAACGCTTTAACCACTAGGCTACACGACCGCCCTCATTGAGCTATGAATCGAAAAAACACATCGGTTTTTCGATTTTTTTCTACAATGAACGTCAAGGAATACAAAATCAATCCTTAATTAAACCAAATTTATGGCTTGATAACTATATTAATCAATGCAATAGAACGTCCATTTTCCTCCCTGTCACTTCTCAAACCAAAGGGAAATAACTCTAATCGTAACCCTTGCTGATCGACAGGGTAACACACATTGCAATCCTCTCAACAGAGATATAGTGGGTGAGTGAGTTTGGTTTAACGCCGCCATTAACAGTATTCCAGTTATATCACGGCGTGTCAGCTTAATGTGGAAGGAAAGCCCGAAGTGATGCAGGTCTCAGACGTTTACCACTTCGGTGAAACCCACGGGCACGGCTATGGTGCTGACAAACCTAGAAACATAATCGGGGCGAAGCGGGATTCGAACCCACAATCATAGGTTTCTGGCGTGTCCAAGGGACGCAACTCTGCACATCGAATCGCGGCCCCTCAGACGAGTGGGCCTCCCGTGCCCCCCGACAGAGATATTGGAGAGGAGGTGTCACTGGTGAGCAGCATCTTATTTTATTACAATAACTGAAATTAACAGCACGCATATTTTGTTAGCATGTTTTATTATCACAACCGATATAAAATATGACATCTTTGGTGTATAACATTATACAAAATATTTCAGCTTTTTGTTTGGATTAGAAGGAAGTGTTCTTGGATTTTTCCACTCAGCATACATCGCTTCCACCGTGTCTCGGATGTCAAAGGCGGATGAGCTTGAAAGCCTGTCCCATCAAAGTGGGTAAAGCGGAAGAACCCGGAAGTCCATCCCATCTCAGTGTGAAAAGCGGATGAAGGCTCCGAAAGGCGTTCCCTTGCACTTGACAGCCGGGGTGGCGATATTGTTCCCCCATGGGACAGTGGAACCAAAAGTGGAGCTACCACACCCAATACTCCTCAGTCTGCAGCCTCTGGTGTCACAGGTTCTGGCCTCACAGCACACTTGTGTCCCCCCATTGCCAGTGACGCTGACGGAGTAGCGGACCCGGTGACCCGGACTCCCGATAATGGAAGTGTCCGAACTGCACGTCGAGCCGAACACAATGGGAGGAGCGTAGCAACTTCCTCCATTGCCATGGGCGTAGGGCAGCACCAACAGCATGGCCATGGCTACAACGGCGAGGAGTTTTGTCATCTTTGGATATCTGTGAATATAAACACATTATGTATATGATATACGTGTCATTTCAAGTTTGGGAAAGGGAGACGAGGTGGGAAACAGCGTTACATTTTACTACCATCTGTTTGTAAAAGCCCACCTCAGAGTGGACATGAGTATAACGTCAGTCTGGCATCAAGCACAACTGGAGCCGGACAATCAGGATCACAAGCTGTTATTGTACGACAATGAAGAAAAGCTAACTAGGGGAGTGAGTATTTCAGTTATATCACGGCGTGTCAATTTGACGTGGGAGGAAAGCCCAAAGTGATGCAGGTCTTAGACGTTTTCCACTTCGGTGAAACCCACGAGCACGGGTATGGTGCTGACAAACCTAGAAACATAATCGGGGCGAACCGGGATTCAAACCCACAATCATAGGTTTCTGGTGTGCCCAAGGGACGCAACTCTGCACAGCGAATCCACGGACAAACCTGGAAAGATAATCAGGGCGAATCTGGGTTTCCAACCCACGATCATAAGGTTTCTGGTGCGTCTAAGGGACGCAACTCTGTGCAGCGAATTGTAGCGCCTTCTAGCGACTACTTGTCGTGTAATGAATTTACATGAGAAAAGTATGACTATTAAATGAAAGTGTATTTATTTTGAGACAGTATACAAATTGTTTCGAAATTCAGAAACCCGGAATTTGGTTTGACGTGAATATATAGCCCCAACCACCACCTCCAAAAAAAATAAAAAAAATAATTAAACTCTGTTAATAAAGTTATGTCAGAGACAGTGGGTAACTTTGATTGCTGTTTTAGATTAGACTGATAGTTTAAAATTCATTAGCAATTTTGCATTTACATGGATGTGCAATTCGTCTTGACATGACATAGTGGGGAGTCTGCTAGCATGCTAACTTTGTTTTAAGTTGTCATTTTTAATTTTTGATTAATATAGGTGATTGCGTGATTCAATTATGAGATAAACGAGCTCAATTCAACATTTGAAACCTCACGCTGCGCGTTCGGTTCCAAGTTAAGTTTAGCGAGGTTAAATTTACAGGAAACCTAGCTCAACACTGAAAACACAGTATGTTTATGATTATTTAGATATACTCCCGAAATAACTGTAAAAGAAGTACATGTACTATTCTAAAAATGAAAGCTCTATCAATCAGAAGTGGTTTATTGTGATTTAATACCTCAGACTGACCTATCAAAATCGAGTATTTTCCAAATTCAAGGTGACATTCTGGTAACCGCCTAATTCAGCAATAGGGTTGCTAATTTGTTTCTTAATAAAATTGTAAAAACTGATGTACATACGTGTCATGTCAGTGCAAATTACACATACATGTAGCTACAAAATGGTTAATGCAAAGAAACAATGTAAATAGTCTTGTGTCTCTGATATATCATAATTCAATAATAGCTCCTCGCTGATACATGGAAATTAAGGCACAATTCCCGATACCATGACTCTGAACACCCACACCCACACCCACACCCACACCCAAACCCACACCCACACCCACACACACACACACACACACACACACACACACACACACACACACACACACGGTTTTCTCCTTCCCTGATGGGGCGGTCGGGTAGCCTAGTGGTTAAAGCGTTCGCCCGACCCGTGTTCGATTCCCGACATAGGTACAATGTGTGAAGCCCATTTCTGGTGTCCCCTGCCGTGATATTGCTGTAATATTGCTAAACGCGGCGTAAAACCATACTCACTCACTCTCCTTCCCTGATATGCGATCCTCACAATAATTCTATATACACCAAAATGTCTTTATGTTGAAACTATACATTTTCTAAAAATGTTTTTAGTGATCAGTTAACGAGAAAAGAATCAACATCCAGGACATGCAGTTTGCAATATAGAAACATCACCAACAAGCAAGAAAGAGAAAAACCCGAGCATGTATATGGAGTTGTGGAAATACATTTGTCCTACCTTGTCCTTGCAAAACGTGAAGTGTTTGTGATGGTGATGCTGCACTAGGGCTATATATACCTACATCTGCAGCTAGAAATCTAGGTTACTGCAACATTTCCTTGTTTCCAAGAAACGCAATAAAGCCGAATACGACGAATTCAAGCTCACTTGTTTACACGCCCGTTCCGTACACAGTTTCGCTGCGTCAGCAGACTCTATCAACATCCTGGTTGAGATGCGTTGTTGTCATTAATGTGACAAGCTTCAGTATGACCTAAAGGCTCTGTACCTTTAACATATACAGTAAAATCCCATACATTTGTATGCTAATTGTCTATTAACATATTTCCGTCACATGATTTATTGTTTGTGGCATTAATATGTGTGCGTCAGTGTGGTGGAGCTAAAGACGTATTCCCGTATTCTGCTTCACAATGTAGGTACATGTTGAGTGGCTGCTGTAAAACAGCTTTGGTTATGTACCATTGCGTTATCTTTTCGTTATTATTTTGTTGCATGCTTCTTTGTCACAGCAACAATATAAATCGCTATCCCTTCCCACCCCCTCTAATTTTGTATTAGCTTCAAAATATGCAGTTACTTTTTTATTCAAAATTAATGACATAATACATCAATAGGATTGGATAAAGCTCTAGTAGTGTCCACACTTATCGCGTGATGAAGGGCGGTGGGGTAGCCGAGTGGTTAAAGCGTTCGCTCGTCACGCCGAAGACCCGGGTTCGATTCCCAAATGGATACAATGTGTGAAGCCCATTTCTGGTGTCGACCGCCATGATATTGCTGGAATATTGTTAGAAGCGGCGTAAAACCATCTCACTCACTATACCCGAGATGATACACTGCTTGGCTTGTGCCCCACGAGACACGTGTGGCTATGCATTATTTCAGTAGTAATAAATAAAGTGATATTGTGCTTCATATTTTTGTTAATTCGTTTGCAATGTACAGGGACATAATATAATTATATACTGATCTATAAAATTTTCTATAGATGTTTTATGCTTCACAAAATCACTGAGGTAAACATTTGTTTTGGGTACAAAATCACATACACCCCCATGAGTTCCCTCGGCACATTGTTATTATCAGCTGGTGGTGAGGTTTTTTTGCTGTTTGGATGACATGGGTCAGCATGTTGAAAATAACAACCACTTCTTTGTCTGACCCAATGCTGATTAGGTCTCTCCTGCGTAGCTGGATATGTACAAGCAAACAAACAAACAAACAAACAAAAAGCGTGGGCTGTATGACCTGCCGGATTGTGTGGGATCTTGCCCCGACTTCTTGAATCGTTACTCATGCTGTCAATCACTTGTTTGCCTGGATCGATTATATTTGTTTTTTGTATAATGCTGGACAGTTCAGCTATAAGGCGGCGTTCTGTAAATAATCGAGTCTGGACCAGACAATACAGTGATTCATAAGCATCGATCTACGCAACTGAGCTATACTATGACATGCATCAACCAAGTCAGCGTGCCTGACCACCCGATCCCATTAGTCACCTCAAACCGCATGGGATGCTGAAGTCCAATTCTAACCCGGGGGTGGCTCGATTATAGGATACAGCTGTAAAAATGCCGCTTAACACCTCCCTCGCGTTGTGTTGCCATTCCACCCAACGTTAACACATTATTCTGAAGAATAACGTATGCCTATTGACTGCTGGTTTTCAAAGTCGTGTTACAAAGTCAACTGTGTCAATTATTTGGAATGTTATCTAAATAATTTTTAGGATATGTTATGTTATAATCATTGCCTCCGATCTCATCTCTTGTTTCACGAACAACGACACTGAAACTTGATCTTGCACTAATCTTGCACACATTGGTAAACATGTTTATGGCTCTTGTTCCGACCTAGTTTTCTGACGTCCTCGGCAAAAACCAAGAGCATTGCTAGTAATTAAGGTTTTAACGTCCACTTCCGATTTTGAGTGAGTGTGAGTGAGTGAGTTTGGTTTAACGCCGCTTTTAACAGTATTCCAGTTATATCGCGGTGTGTCAGCTTAATGTGGGAGGAAAGCCCGAAGTGATGCAGGTCTCAGACGTTTACCACTTCGGTGAAACCCACGAGCACGGGCATGGTGCTGAAAAAATCTAGAAACATAATCGGGTCGAAACGGGATTCGAACCCACAATCATGGGTTTCTGGCGTGCCCAAGGGACACAACTCCGCACAGCGAATCGCTGTGCCTTAGACGACTGGGTCACCCGTGCCCCCTCCGATTTCGAAAAATTATATTTCGGGGAGGAGGTCAGGTGGGGCTGATTTGATAATAAATAAGGCAATAAGGCAATAGTGTAACACCTGACCCAAAATATAAACTGTTGGGGCTGAGTGTATTGATGAAAAATAGATTTATGTTAAGTTGTATATATTGAGATAAAAAAGGGGGAGTAAACAGACAAATAAACAAAACCACTAAATACAAACTATGCCAAAAAAACAGAATAGATTGTAGAATTATTATCAGTTAAGGTATTATTGAAATAATATATCTATAAATAAAGAAAACGAGGAGAGAAAGTATCATTGCCTTAGTTGAGAAAATTGGCGGGGTGAGGCGGATGTTGGTGGGGGTATAAACAATAACACAGCGAAGTGGGTCGGCTTACTGGGACATTGTATGGGCACATGTGTCGCTGAGTAGCATCTCCCTTCGCTTTATGATGTTAGCGGCTTGTGTGAGTGTAGCGTGGTTGTCAGCGGGGTAATCGTGGAAAGGTGGCTTAGTTAACTCTCTGGGTCCAGTTCTACTAAGCGATCCTAGCTCTACGATTATCATAAGCCTGTGTTAAAGTATGGGATTGTCTCAGCGCTAAGATCGCTTTGTGGAGTGAGTGAGTGTGTATGGTTTTACGCCGCTTTTAGCAATATTCCAGCAATATCACGGCGGGGGACACCAGAAATGGACTTCACACATTGTACCCATGTCGGGAATCGAACCCGGGTCTTCAGCGTGACGAGCGAGCGCTTTAACCTCTAGGCTACCCGACCGCCCCTCGCTTTGTGGAACGGGGCCTTGGAAGCCGATGTATATTGTTGATGCACGTTTTTGTAAGTTCTGATCATGAGTGAGTAAGTTGGGTTTAACGCCGCTTTAACAGTATTCCAGTTATATCACGGCGTGTCAGTTTAATGTGGGAGGAAAGCCCGAAGTGATACAGATTTCCGGCGTTTACCACTTCCATGAAACCCACGACCACGGATGTGGTGCTGACAAACCTAGAAACATAATCGGAGCGAACCGGGATTCGAACCCACAATCATAGGTCAGAGATTTTGAAGATTGCATGTCCTAGCTGAGGCTCAAACTAAATGCAAGCATGTGATGAGAGTATTATGTCTTGTCAGATATTTTGTTATTCGTGGAACCACTTAGCATTTATGCTTTTATTCCCACACCGATAACAGGACGAAAATATATATTTGACTTTATGTAAACTGTAAGCGTTGTAAATACTGCCTTATAAACGAACAACCCAATGACAAATAGATTTGAAGTTTTTATATGACGTTACATATTCGATACAAAAAATAGCTTCTCTGGTTTGTTTACAGGCCGCCGACGCATGGCAGTTTAATGCTGATTGTGTGAGTGGCGGGTGATGTCGGTAGTGCAGGGTGTGCTTATGCCCTTTTCGCGAACACGTTGTGTCATCACGTATTTCAGCGATTCATTCATATAATTTCTATCGATATGTTGCCCCTAACGCCCAAGGGAATCAATTTTGGCTGATAATCGAGCCTGGTTATTCTAAATGATGAAAACCATAAAAGTCCAGTTTACACCCTTGCCGAACTAGGCTGGAATTCCTGGGCTCGATCGTAGCGCCACCAGTGATTATTATGCCTCTCCTATCGACCAATCAGATTCCGCCTCTTGTATCACTTGCATGTGCTTCAAAAAAAGGGGATGCCGAGTCATGACGATCTAAACAATAATCAAGATCTATATTGTGATAAAACGGGTCTTACATTGTAAAGTGCATGAAATCTCGTGAGCACCTTGAATAAAAACACGAAATATTTGAAAAAATATCTGTTGACGCCGAGTTGGCGGTGCACATGCTTTGCAAATCCTGCAATTGACTGAAACAGTTTACGAACCGGATTTCGATTTCCTTACGCGATTTGCATTGGACTATGCATAGACTCGTTAGTCCAGCCAAAACATATCTCCATAATACCAGCCTAGTTCGGCAAGGGTGGAAACTGGACTTTAAAAGTCAGTTAACTCTCTTGCCTTAGGAAGATGTCTATTTATGAATGCTTCAACCACTTTAAAATGGTACCAAGAAAAGAGACTGCTCATATTCCCCTGGTAGTCGACTTCGATGTCGGTGGGACCAAGCACGTGGGTGTGAGTTTGTGAACTTTACATGAACCATTTTTCAGCAGCATGCGATAATAAAGTAAACACAAAGTTAAACACTGCTGATATGTTACAAGACCTAATAGCTTTATATCAACTATGGGAAACCATGCAGCACGGCGGTCGAATATTATAACAAATTGCGCCAACACCAGCCACAGTGGTTGGACCGGGAAGCTAAACACTGAAACGTTCAAAATATGTCCTTATAGATAGGTTAAAATTACGAATGACGGTGAACATTGTAGAAAACATTTGAACACCAAAACGTGTTTTTTAAAGAAAAAATTGATTTTGGAAAGTCTGTCTCTGAAGAAGTGTATCGTATTGTCATGCACGAGACCTTTTAGCAAAATTCATGTATATTCATCGCCAAAACCACCCTTTGACGCCGAAGGAATGAAGGTGAAGTGGAGATTAATGCAATTGCATGGTGACGTGTGTGTCTGCTTGTACTAGACTAATGCCGTTTTTATGCCGCAGTTTAACATGAATACCCCTCTCAGACACAGAATACCGACTCTGAGCCGATCACTCCTTGTTATAGCTCCTTAATGCCGACCGCCAGGCAGGGTAACAACAAGTACCATTTTTTACGTCTTTTGGTATTGTCCAAGGGCGTAGATTTCGGCCCTCGGATGGTAGCTCAGGGTGATGACGGAGGACAAAACTCAGGGGTGAAGTTTAGACGACAGCAGCCATATTTATTGTAGATGGTTGAAATGAGTCGAAAAGGTACATGTTGATAATAACGTGACAGAACGCACACCGGGACCTAGTGGCCAATGTTCCCGGGTGTGAGAACCGTTCTGTCACTTACCTTCTGGCTCTTCTCTAG